TCAAAGTCGATACCTGGATCGAAATATAGAGATCTCCAAAGGCCACAAGTGGACAGCGCTGCCTCGCGCCAATGGCGACAGATCTGGGCGAGTAGCAACGGCGCTCTGGAAGGAGAAGCGCTGACGCGTCCATGGGATGGGAGACAATGGAGGAAGATGCGAGAGGTGATATCGAAGGGGAGTATGTGAATGGATATACCACGAGCGAGAGACTGGTCTCTAATTCGCTCTGGTCTTTCTCCAGGTCCTCGATGCGCTTTTTGTAAAGCGCGATTTGCGATTTCACGTCAGCCAAGGCCACGCGACGATTCTGGACGGAAAGTTGACTCGAAGGCAAGGGGACTAGTGGCGAGACGGCGTGCCCAGTCGCTTCTAAGGATGGAGACCGGTGTCCACACTTTTCGCAGACCGGTGGTTTTCTTCGTGATCTGAACCAAAGAGGACCATACTGAGCCAAGCTAAGCCACACATGATCGGCTAGTCACAGGTGTGACTCGCCCCCTTTTCGACCACCATGGCTGCAGTTTGCGACAGCTGTGGTCAGTGCAATACGTGGACCCTGTCATCCGCATCGCCCGTGGAATCACCATCCGAATACTCCCCTGTCCAGCTGCGCTCCGATTTGGACGAAGTCGCAGCTGAGATCTTGCGGCACAAGGCACATCTGAATGCCCTCGAGGACAAACGGCGCGAGCTGGAGATGTACCTCTCTCGCATTGTTTATCCCGTCCTATCAATTCCTCCGGAAATCATCTCCAAAATTTTCGTGGCATGCCTTCCCAGCCACGGCCGCGTGCGACCTTCACCTCTTACGCCACCGCTCACGCTCGCGCAGGTCTGCAGTTATTGGCGAGATATTGCGCTCTCTTCCAGCGAGCTTTGGAGTTCTCTGGATATCCTCATTCCGCTAAATTACGATCAGACTCCGCGGAAGTACAGAGATTTCCCAGACGGAAAGTCTTACATCAACAGGATGCGCGGGATGCGCTCTTTGCAGGAAACCTGGTGGGCGCGTGCCAAGGAGCAACCACTCTCATTGACCATACGATCTTTGAATCGGGATTCTTTTCAAACCTCTCCAAAGTTTTACCTTGCGGCTGGACGGGCTCATCGCCTCGAGCTTACGCTTCCCGACGACGACCTTCGCCTTCTGGGAGAAATTTGCCCTGCATTTCCGCATCTCAAGCATTTAGCCATAATGCCGCATGGGAATTACTCATCATCTTCCCTCTCGGTACTCCCGGACGCTCCTGCTATGTCGGAGCTCAGACTCGGGGATGTGCCTGCCTTAATGTCCAACCTCTCCCCCCTTTTGGCCACCCTCGAACTTCGGCAAATATCCGTCGAAACCCTGTTCGATGCAATGAAACAATGCCCACAACTGCTGCACCTCACGGCTCACATGAAGGATTCTCACAATGGGCGACCAATACCAATTGCGCAGATCGCCTCGCCGCTTCTCCAATCTCTGATCCTTCATGGGTCCAGCATCGAGTCTCTGAACCTTCCTAAATTGCGTCGGCTGGAGCTATATAAGGACCGCTATATGATATTCCCTCCTATCTCTCTATTCGACTCTAACCCCGTCATCGAGCATCTCGGACTTGCCTCCGGCAAATCCTGGGAATTCGTCGAGTGCCTCCGGCGCTCGCCCTCCCTCACATCCTTGCTTGTTCATGTTGATGACCACATCTCGTGGTTCGCTGAGGTGATGGCCCGGGACCCTCCGCTAGTTCCGCGTCTCAGTACCCTGATCATCCACGCCTCATTCGATGCGTTATTCGACTACTCTGACTTTATCCGTCTTGTCCAGACGCGCCGAAACCCCACCTCTGCGTTTCAGACGCAGTTGGCCTCTGTTCGGCTTCATTTACGCGACGTCGGGAGGTATCCGCTCAAGGACTGGGTCCTGCCGCGCGGGGCAATTGCCCAACTCCGCCCGCTTCTTGACGAGGGCTTGGACTTGAGGGTCATCTATAATAATACCCATGGCTGGCCGGACGCGGGTAAGTCTTCGACGGTATATTCGCAACGAAGCTGACTATGCCGCGCATAGATTTCTGCGAATCCTTTCCCTAAGCAAGCGATAAATCATTCGGACTCCGCCTACTTCACGTTGAGCTCACAGTATCCTTTCTGCTTTCAACGCCGACCAATCGGAGAAGGCCGCTCATCGGGAATTTTGGCACTGGCATCGGTGGCCTCGCGACTATCCTTACTTTTCTCTCGAAGCTGTCAGCTTGGAATACAGATGTTCAATGCACCTTCTGTTCAAACTGAATGCTGAAAGGTCGGAGGAAAAGTATTCGTGAAAAGCACCATGAATCGAACGGGCAGCTTCCACCTGCAGGTGTTCGCAATGGCCTTCAAGCTTCAAGTGAGGCGGATGCGATACCAATCGCCACCGAGTCGGTATCATGGGTAGCTGAAGTCGAATCTGAACATCCGGGAGATCAAGTCGGCCCGCCGGAGAAGATACGCGTACTCAGGCTGCAAATGATTTCGAGACAAATCAAGCGCCCCGCGATTGTGTGCCAAGCCTGCCCGCGCAAAATATAGCTGGGGCGCTTGAATATGACTCAGGCCCGAGTCGAACGGACAACTTCCACCCGCAAGCGTGCGCTGGGGTCCTCAAGTGAGGTGGGTGCGATACCAATCGGCACCGAGCCGGTATCATAGGTAAGTCGAATCTGAACACATTTGGGGGACTAAATCGGAGCCTTCTCTTGAGCAAGGCACACGTAATGCAAATATCTTCGAGAGAATAAAACCTTCAATATATCCTGAGTCCCGGAAGATAACCAAGGTTTGACTTGGGTTTGACGCAATTTGCCTACCAAAAACGTGCAAACCGTGGAATGGCCCGGGCCCGAATCGAACGGGCAACTTCCACCTGCAAGTACTATGCCCTTTCAAGTGAGGTGGATGCGATACCAATCGCCGCCGAGTCGGTACCATGGGTACGACGAATCTGAACATCTGGGAGACGTCGAATTGCTTTTCTGCGGCAAGACATATTGCTCTTCTGCAGCCGGACATCACGAAATTTTTTTTGAGAGAATTCAATGCGATTGTCAGCGCAACATGTGACGTTCGGTCAATGGCAGCTGGAAAGGTCGGGAAAAAAAAAGTTGCGTTCACAGCTACATGACTCGGACCCGGATCGAATGGGTGATTTCCACTTATACTGTGCTTCAGCGGGAAAAGAAACGCCGGGTGGATGTGAGGCCTTCACTACCGAGTCGTTCTGCGGCTTGATTTTAGGTTGAACATGTTCCAAACTTCGAGAGACAAAATCTGCTGCGTGAGGGGTGGTAGACAGTAGATTCTCTTGACACCAACTACTGCTCTGGATTTGATGTCAGAGAATCTTGGGACTTGAAGAATGTGGGTGTGAAAGGGAGGAATCCAAAAAAAAAAAAACAGGATGTGCAAAGATGCAAATGTCTCGGTCCCGGTTCGAACGGGGGAGGTCTACTGGCATCGGACCAACTACCGGCGATACGGTTGGCCGCCGAGTCTGTCCTCGTGTCAGTTTCAGTCTGTATGTACGCCAGAAATAAACTGATTGTGCAAGGGTGCAGGATACTCCGAGGCTGTCATAAACATTAGAGCAAGTTCACGGCTGGATGAGCTAAACGTCAACAGCGATCTCGTTGTACAGGTAGGTATGCGCAATGCAAGCTTTACAATGGCCAAAATAGATCGAACCACAGCGGGTTGAGATTGGGCAAATCAGACGGGATCCTACTAGGAGCTTGAGGAGGAGCACGAAAGAGATGGATGGTGTACTATCGCCTTAATCTCCTAGCATCCATCGTGGATCGGCCGCAGGAAAGGGCAAAAATGAGTACTGAAAGAAACGGCCATGACTCGGCCCCGGGTTGAACAGGCGATTTCCACTGATGTTCGTCATTCTAATTTCGGACTATCCGAAGTGGATGGGATACAAGGCAATTCCACCGAGTCGTTCTCATACTGGATTCCAGCTTGGACAGGGTATGCCTTGGGCGCCGGAATTACAGTGGTTACGCGTGTGGGAAATTGAGAGTAGATCTTCGTGGACCAGGTGAAGGCAGATTTCGTTCAGGAAAGGAAAGAAACAAGTACCTGGAGTATGAAGAATACTCCGTCGAGTCTGAATATTGATGTCCACTTGTGCCGTATACCTAAGCCGAGCTGAATGCTGAAGTGATTGCTTGGAAAATACGAACTGCTACCCGAGGTTGATATTAAGGTGAATGCAAGCACAGTCTAGGAGGAATTGTAAGTCCCGAAAAATTGCAGTCCACATTCGCAGGCGCATGAGCACGGAGGTAGCTGGAAAAAGTTTTCAAGCAATCACGAATGACAAGTCGGGCCTGGGTCGAACAGGCGATTTCCCCTGGTGTGATTTCTTAACGCCATGGCCAGTCTGACATTTGAAGTGGATGTGATAGAATTCACCACCGAGTCGTTCTCATACTGGATTTCAGCTCGAACACATCGTGAATGAGAGGGCTGCGCATGTGGGAAGTTGGAAGGAAATCCTGGCGGTAGAGGAAGATTTCGTTCAAGAAAAATCAACACATCTTGGTCAGTCTATGAGCAACTCAGAGGAGAACTATCGGACTGTTTGAGCAAGTTGGCCATTTGCAAATCGGCTTTCTACTTCATCGTAGAGCGAAAGAAGAGGGTGCGATGGTTTAGGCCCACAATTATAGGGCTGCAATAGTAGATAAGCAGTAGGTTTTGAGTGAAACAAGTGAGAAGTTCCACTTGAAAACAGTCTCGACTCTCAACGCACCGCGGGTAGTACAAAAATCAGCGGGCACCCAGTTGCAAGAAAGCCACTCAGGAGTCAGCACGCAGAGAAGGCCGCAATAACTCCGATGGGCGTCTCCTACGTGCGATAAGGTCGCCTTCAACTTCGAAGGGCCATTCAAGGAGAATCTCGGAACAATAGGGAGCCCTCGGCCGGGAAGCGTGCCACAAAAATAAAGTACGATTTGAGCAAGCCATGACTGGAGTCGGATTCGAACCGACGTCCTCGGCATAATCCAGAGTTCCGCCCCCACTTTCAGCCGACGCGCCACCGCTACGCCATCGAGTCTATAAAGAGAGGGAAGAGAAGCCTGTTCGAAGCACAGTTGAAAAGTTCGGCGGAACCGGAATTTGCCGCCATCACTTAGGCACGTGCCTGTGTGTCACGCGTTGCCTTGGCTGCGTCACGCCAATTTCCCTCTTCTCCTGACTCTCGTCAACTCGCTCAAGGCTGCCCATACACCTCACTTCGACCAAGATATACTGCGCTCTCCTTGGATCATAGTCGCTGCTTGCACCCAGGACCTCCCTCGACTTGACTGGATTGGGCGCTAGTCCACTTGTGGACGACGAGAACTCAGTACTATTCGACCAGCTTTGGCTCGGATTCGACCGGATTATTAGACTAGGAGCCTCAAACTCGATACGACTACGATGGCGAGCCCAGCCTGGCACTACGTGCTCAAATTCATCATCACCGGCGACGCAGCAGTCGGGAAATCATCGTTGTTAGTACGACTCACGGACCAGCGGTTTCTCGCGAATCCGGATCCAACAGTGCGTGCACCTTCTCACTCTCCTCTTCAGTCCACCTCTCTTCGTCTTCACGTTGCGTGGATATCCCTGTTTGTGAGACGAAATGCTGATGTGGAATTACAGCTCGGCGTCGAATTCGGCTCGAAACTCATAACCCTGCCCGGGCCCGAAGCGACAGTGGTGAAGCTCCAATGCTGGGACACCGCGGGCACCGAGTCGTTTCGCTCGATTACGAGATCGTATTATCGTGGGCTGCCGGTGCGTCTCTTCCTCCTTTCCTCCTTTGCCTCTATCCCTCCTCGCTCCTCTCTAATTAATGTTCGCTAACGCTCGCACACCCTGCCTCCTCGTGTACGACGTCACCTCCCGCCGCTCGTTCGACAACGTGCGCGCGCATGCCGACGCACATGTTTCTTGTATATTTGTCGGGAATAAGGTGGATCTGTCTGAAGGGGAGGGTGCGTTGTTTTCTCCTTTCTTTTTCATTCTTCCTTTTACGCGCGGAAACGGGGAGGAGGGGAAGTGATTGAGGAGTGTAAATTAATCCGAGTGTTAGTTTGCGGGTTGCTGCGGAGCCACTTTTGAGAGCGAAGGTCACGAAGATGGCGTGGCTGACGGCGGGTGGCATCCCTGGGCGCAGCGTCCCTGGCGTCTGCCGGGGCGTCGCGCGGGGCGGGATATGGAGCGCATCTACACAATCCCCCCCCGCCGGCGTATAGGTCTCAGTGCGTGGCGATCAGACTGGCTCCTCTCGTCCCTCTTCACCTCCGAAACACTAAGTACTCGTCGATAATATTTTTGTTGGCGGGGGGATTTGAATTTTGCACTAGACTGTCGGTGAACCAAAGCCATCTCGTCACAGGTCACAGCGTGACTCGCCTTCTTCGCAACCACCATGGCTGTTTTTTGCGAACGCTGCGGCCATCGCAATCTCTCCTCTTCGCCATTGCTTTCCATGCCCATCATAGAGTCTATATCCAATTGCGCCCCTGCCCGGATGCGCGCCGATTTAGATGAAGTGGCATCGGAAATCGCGCGGCAGAGGGCATATCTGAAGGTCCTCGAGGGCAAGCAGCGCGAGTTGGAGACAGAACTCGCTCTGATTGTGTACCCGGTTCTTACCCTTCCGCCGGAAATCGGCACCCAGATCTTCGTCGCGTGCCTTCCGAGTCACGGACGTGTGCGGCCTTCACCTCATACGCCGCCGCTCACGTTGGCACAGCTCTGCCGTCATTGGCGAGAAATTGCCCTCTCTTCCAGCGAGCTTTGGAGCTCCGTCGATATTGTCCTTTCCCCGCAGTTCATGCACGCTGCGTGGTTTGGTCTTCGACCGTTGCCGGATCCCCCGATCTACGAGGCCCTCCCTATGATCGAATTGTGGTTTTCGCGGGCCAAGGAGCGCCCACTTTCACTCACCGTTCGGTCGACACGGGGGGAACTCCCGAAACCTCTGCTCACGCTTATCTCCGCCATGGCAGGACGGCTCTACCGTCTAGAGCTAAAACTCTCTCACAAAGACTTCGAGTTTCTTGGCAAAAATCCTGCTGCATGTCCGCGTCTCGAGAAGCTGGCCATTTGTTCGGAGGCTAATCTGCATCCCGATACCTACAATACTTTCAGGGACACCCCGTGCTTGTCGGAACTCAAGATCGAGCACGATTACCACTTGGTTTCCGACCTTCCCCCACTTCTGACTAGCTTGGAAATTCGGCACATGTCTCTCGATCACCTTCCGGAAGTGCTGAATCGGTGTCCGCGACTGTTGCATATCACGGTCGACATGGAGTTTTCCTGGAGTACTCAGGTCATTACTGTGCCACATCTCCAATCTCTAGTATTTCACGGATCCAGTCTCGACTGTCTGAATCTCCCAGATCTGCGTCGACTGGATGTGGATACAGAGCATCAATCAGCGTTTCCCACCCTTCCTTTGGTCCTTGCACGCTCAGGCTGTCTGCTCGAGCACCTTGGACTTGTGTTCAAACCATCTGAATTGACGGAATTCAGGGAGTTCCTGCACAGTGTACCCTCGATCGTATCTTTACGCGTTGACGTTGAAGACGTACATGATGCTCTATTCAGCTTAGCTGAGGTGCTGACTGCAGAACCGGCGCTCCTCCCGCGTCTCCGCAAGCTTACCATCTCAATCTCATACCGGCAGTTCGACTACCTGGCCTTCGTCTATCTCATTCAAACACGTCGCAACCTTCACTCTGAGCTTCTGGCCTCCTTGGGCTACGTTCGACTCGAGTTCCTTGATGTCGAACACCACTATCGAGACGATTGGTTGTCACCCGCAGCGAGCGTTGAATTTCATCGGCTTATCGACCAGGGTTTGGACCTCCGGGTCATTTTCAGTGATAAGCGCTGGCCTGATACCGGTGGGTGTTAATTGTGTATTAATACTGAGAATTGCTAACTCTGCCGCCGATGGATCCCTGCGAATTGTTTCCCTAACTGTCGATATCAACTGGGGAAAAGTCTTTGAACATTCATTACACGATGATCGAAGTAGCGGAAGGTGGATGTCTATGCTCTCCAGAATACTTACCCTCACTATGTATGTACATTCCAATGGACGTGATCCATTCTTGAAGCACACATAGTCTGACCTTGGGATCTCGAGAATCACTGCGACTGCAAGAGAGGGCGACAAGTCCTCAATCTGAAGGGTCGAATGTGGGATATTGCAGCTCGAGTCGGACTCCGTCAAGTCGCGCTCGCCAAGCAGGTGAAAGTAATCCCGCGGCTTTTTCTTCACTGCTTCAGCCGCTTCCACTTTTTCACGTCCGACAGTTGAGCATACAGCAACTGTGTTTGAGGTAGTCTCAAAATTCATCGCCTCCACCGTCGATAGGTATCTATAGCAGTCAAGCTGTTCAAGCGCATGATCAGGGAATACTGAATCGACGATTCGAGTGACCCGGCTGGCTGTGTCCCGCGATGCAAGATCGATATTCACATTGTCCTCGGATTTGCGGCTCTTGAGCCGGCGGAGGAATGATTATCGTGTTTGACATACGTCTAATTCCCTAGGTGTTGTCAGATGTCGCGCGAAGTTGAGGTCAGACCGTGTACATTCAACGTCAATGTGTTCATCAATTCTCATCATCAGGACGCTGAAACCTGTTAGTGCAGCTCCCAGTTCACAGGTCAAGCCGTTGAACTCGGTAATGATAGCACCGGGTAAAAACCACCCTCGTGTCGTTTTGTATGGATACAACTTAATTCAGACATCAACGCGCGTCCTCTGGTTTTTGTTGGCATCCTCTTCAGCACTGTGTCCCAAATCTAGGCTTCTCAAGGCTGAGACTATCTCTCTGCTTGGAGCATCCGCACTCCTCATGGCAGGCAGTGTCCTCGTTTCAGGGACATCGAAACCCCATCTGTCGCCCAGGGCACCACACGTCGAATATATGTCATCCTCCCCCGCGGCTGCTACTTTGGGAAAAACCGGGGCTTTCGACCTGGCGGCAACTTGCGCGCGTCTTCACGGAGCGCACCTGTGTGGAAACCCCGGTCGCATTGGTCATCGGCTTCAAGACAGGACGGGCCCGTACTCCTCACATAACAGACTCACCGTTGGATAGACAGCGTTAACTGCGATCAGTCGTTCAAACATCGAGAACATCTGTCACCCAACTACGATACACAGGTCATACATCGAGTGTGCCGTAGGTGATTGCATTGCTGTATCATGATCCAACATTTTAGTTCACAGGCTCTACGGCGCTCCTATGAGAATGTTTACAGCTTCATGTGAACTTTCCCGCCCTCCCGAGCGTCAAACAAGTTCCAAATGATGACGCTTGTGTGTCCAATCGGACCCCACATGCGTGCGAATTGATTAGGCTGTTTTCGGGACGCCGTGATGTATAGTTGTAGGTCCAGATCCCCGCGTTTGGAACCCCCCGACAGTGATGGTGAAGCCCGCCGACCCCGAGTCGCCGCGGCTTGGCTATTAATGTGGGTAACAATTTACGCAGAAGGACAAAACGGAGACGCCGATCAGCAACAGGAATGTGGCCCCAAAATTCAATACACAAGGGCAGCTCGGTCTTGCTCGGCTTGGCTCCAACAGGATACAGCTATTGTGTGTATCTTGGGCGGCCTCGCGCGACAGAAAGTATGTTGAACGTCACTTCGCACGCGACCTATTTTAATTGAGGCTCAACGACGGTCGACCGCTTTAGTCGTCTGCGGCACAGCCCAGGATCTGAGAGTGGCTAGTTTGAACCCGTATGGTTCCGAAATTCGTCCTCCTGGGTCGCGTAATATTTCCCACCCTTTCGGTCCCTCGAAATGGGACAACACAGCTCCAATACACGCATCGAAATTTGGCACATATACAACAAAACTTTGATTGGGCATAGAGCCTCCAATTCTCCACTCCAACTCTCTCCCGGCTTCTGAGCCCGAACTTAAGTGGACGGCTGCGTGACAGATGTACACATGAGCCAACATCTCGACAGTTGATCCCCCAACAACGGTTACTCGGAGCGAGGCCATGCCTTGACGTCGGCGTCACCCAAC